GGCGCGAGGGCGCCTGCTGCTGCTGCTGCTGCTGCCGCTGCTGCTTCGGCTGCTGCTGCCGTCCGGCTCGCCCGCGCGCGAAGGCACACACTCGCACAACACGCCGCAACCGGCCAGGCGCATCCACAGACTCACGAAGCAACTACGGGCACTACGCACACGGCGCTACTGGCCATAGCGCAGCCGACTACCACCAACCTCCGCTCGCCGGAGACGCGCAGCTCCATTCTAGCACGCAATTTAACGAGGAGAAGCGCACGGTAACGGAAGAAACACGCCGAGATCGGCGGCCACTGCACTCGCTAGCTGCTGCGGCGGGCACGGTCGCTCGACACATGGCGGAGCTCCAGCTCGGCTCCGCTTGGCGGCGCTCGGCACGGCCCGGTCCCTCGGCTTTACGCCTAGTGCGGGGCCCGCGCCTCGATGGAGCACTCGCCGTCGGAGGCGCGAGCGGCGGCGCGGCGCTGACGAGCCAGCTTTATCTGCCGGCCGAGTAACTCAAGCCCCGCGCGGCTGTGGCGCGTTACAACGGGTGTCGGCGGACGCGGCGATCAGCGTCGCGCGGCGATTGCATCCGGCAGCGGAGGCGCGCGCTCGCCGCTGCGCCGCCGAAACAACCATCACCGCGCATAAACAATAGCGGTCTCTGACGAGTCCGCGACGAACGTAAAGAGGGTCGCCGATACGTGGTCTGAGACGCGCGCGGCACGACGATATGAACGCGTTAGCGCCACGCACGGGTGGTTGGGCGTGTTTAATTTGAGGCCTTCTGCGTTTATTACCTGTCCGACAGACCGCCGACCGCCGCTCCCCCTCGTTCCCCAGCCCTCCGCGAGGGGAGCCGCGGGTGGGGGTGGGGAGGGGTGAGGAGGGTGACTCGCGTGGCGGCGGGGACAGCTCGCTCACAATTATCCCGCGGTGGGCGTGGTCGCCCCAATCGATAGCCGCAGCTCATCAGCGGCCGAGGCGGCGGGCACCGAGGGCCACAACGCATCCAGGTGCGGGGCGCCGGAGCTGTCGCCGCTCCCGTCCATTTAACTCGGGGCGACGCGGCGCGGGGCGGGGCGGCGAGCCATCTGGAGAGGCGCGCAGGGAGCGGGCGGCGGGGGCGCGAGATAAGCCGCCTGAGCATTTAAACACCGCTGCCGCGTCAACGCTGTCTGCGGCTTTCGATCGATTTCCTTCGACAGATCGCCGAGGGGCGGTGGGCGCGAGAAGCGTCTTGCGAACAGGCGCAATTGCGCTCTCGGGGCAACAAACAAACCGTCGGAGCTGCTCTCCTATGACTGGCGGAAAGCCAAAAACTAGAAATCGTCTGCAAAAGACCGCCGTTAAGGGCGCAATTTGCGAAATGTTTGGCGCAGAGCACGTCGAAAAGACGAATAGGTGCGATGAGGGCACAGCGAGTGCGACGTCCCGCCATATTCCTAACGCCAACATTAGGCCTTCATTTTCCTCTCCGCCTCTGTTTGGGAACTCCTCGTTGGGTGCAATCGCCGATCGAGCCGTGCTCGATGTAGCAACCGCCGACGAAGGCCACGGGCGACGAGGCGCGGCGAGGTGCGGTGAAGCGGGGGCAGTTGGCGCGCAACGGCACGGCACGGCTCATTCCCGCCCGCGCTCCTCGCGCGGCCCGCTCCACGCGATCCTTCCACGCACATGGGACACCCCTCCCACGCGGACGCCTGCTCCCCCGCCGACACCGGTTCGAGCCCCGGTCGCTCCGCGGCCCCTGTTTTGACAGGAGAGGGAATTCGATGCCCGCCCCCTCCACCACGGCGTGCCAACACCCACTTCTTTGGGCCACATAAACAAATTAATTAGCGGGCTGGGCGTATTGATGTTCCGTCTCCGCGGCGTGAAAGTCCACGCGCGTGAGGCCGCGAGGGAAATAACGCATGCGCATCCCACAGCACCGGACTGAAACGCCGTCGCCCGCGATAATACATGCACACTGCTCTGGTACATCTCGTAAAGCATCTCTTTACATCCATGAAACTCGAGATGGAAAAATTACATTTTGTACAATAAACACTAGTATTAAATATTGATATCATTTTTTTTTATTTTCATAATAATAAAGAATTAAAGCATTTTGTGCTTTTCTGTATGTATATTATGTGGCAAATTTGAAAACTCACTTGCAAAGAGTTTTCCCGAACTATGCACAATATACGTCTATACATACCAGCCAACGGTATGGAATGTGGGCAATGACACGCAGTTCACCGACGTTTGGCGCGATCTAGCCGCGAAAGCAGGAAACCAGTAGTACGCCATTTGCTCACACATGCAGACGCAAACGCAGACCCACCCTGGTAGTATATTCAATAACTAAATTAGTACGATTGTCCACTTTTTTCTCGTTCTCGATCGGAATTGAGCCCGGGTGAATCTCCCAGTTATTCCATAATCACATACATCACCGAAAACACTAAATAAGGGTCTTATTGGCTCTATAATCGGAGCAGAGATGAGAGCTTTGCTATTCTTCGTGACTATATTCTACGTGAATGAATATGTACAAGCTGTTCGGCAGGTACTAGAAAAAAAGCATTTCGCAAAATATATTTATAAGGTACAAAAGTTAATTGTTATTGTTTCAGATACCGGACGACATCCTTCGAGGAAATCACACAAATAACTGGGCTGTACTAGTAGACACATCCCGCTTTTGGTTCAATTACAGGCATGTAGCAAACGTGTTATCAATATACAGAAGCGTCAAACGTCTGGGAATTCCTGATAGGTAAATAAATTATTTATAAACTTTCAATTTTAATTTTCTTCGAAGTCTGTTAGTTTCATAATTAAATTCTAGTCAAATCATCCTTATGGTAGCTGATGATATGGCTTGCAACCCTCGAAATCCACGCCCTGCCACAGTTTTCAATCACAGAAAGCAGCATATTAACGTTTACGGAGATGATGTTGAAGTGGATTATAGAGGTTATGAGGTAAAGTTTTAAATTAAATCCTATTATAATATCTTTCAACGAGAATTACTTGATTTTCTTACAATGTCTGTAGGTGACAGTGGAAAACTTTGTTCGCTTGTTAACTGGGAGGTTATTTCCTGGCACACCACGTTCTAAGCAGCTTTTAACAGATGAAGGAAGTAACATCCTAGTTTACCTCACTGGCCATGGAGGAGATGGTTTTCTCAAGTTTCAAGATTCTGAAGAAGTCACTAGTCAAGAATTGGCAGATGCATTAGAACAAATGTGGCAAAAACGCAGGTTCGCATATTTTTCCAATCTTGGAAAACAAATTTTTAGATACCCAATTGATTAACTTCTGTGAATTTTTAGATACCATGAAATATTTTTTATGATTTTTAGATACCCAATTGATTAACTTCTGTGAATTTTTAGATACCATGAAATATTTTTTATGATCGACACATGCCAAGCTGCTTCAATGTATGAAAAGTTTTATTCTCCAAATATCCTAGCTGTAGCTAGTAGCTTGGTGGGAGAAGACTCATTATCAGTAAGTAATGATTGTTTAATTAGTTTTTACCAAAAGTCTCTTTTCCAAAATACATACTGATTAAATTGATTTTATTTTTAGCATCATGTGGATCCAGCCATTGGTGTGTATATCATTGATAGATATACATTCCATGCTCTCCATTTCTTAGAAAGAGTTTCACCTGATAGCATGAAGACAATGGGTGAATTTGTAAGTTTGAAGATCGTTTTCATATATCTTTTTGATTTTTGGATTATTATTCGCCATTCATTCATCAATTCTCTTTATCTTAAAATAGCTTGCAGTGTGTCCAAAACAGGAGTGTATTTCTACAGTAGGCGTGAGACGAGATTTGTTTCCACGGGATCCGCATAAAGTACCTATAACAGATTTTTTTGGTTCTTTGCGACCAGTGGAACTTGGCATCAATTATCTCAATGTTTCCATTGCTCTCCCATTAACGGAAAATACAATACGGTCAGTATAAGCAAATTTAAATGATATGCTTAAATGAATATGAATAAATAAAGTTCTCTCTTTTTCAGGCCAGTCAAGCAAGAGGAAAAATATCATTATGCACAGCAGTTCCCAACACATTTGTTTCAGACTCGTGCAACTTAAGAAGTCTGTTTTTTTCCAATTATAAATTGCATAACTTATTTTACATCTGTACAAGAAAAATAAAATCTAGCTAAGGTTTTTGAATATCCCTTGAAGCAAACCTCTTTTTTCCTTAATTTTATTAACCTAACACAAAAAACAAAAGATGGAATTGATACTAGTGATAAATTAAAAGAAATTGACACATGTATGAGGTATAAATAACACGCACAAATGATCAGTAATTTATCTAGTACTTCCATATGCTGTTTGCATCAAATGGCTATTTTCACATTCTGCCCTTCGCAATCTAAAGTAAAATTGCTTTTGCACATTATGTCATCAAATCAGACATTCATTAGAAAGGAAAACCTATGATCAACCAACACTCGCAATTAAAATGCGACTGATGCACACCGAGGGCAATCAAAAAGAAATAATTATTAAATAAAATCAAGAAATTGAGTAGTTTAATTTTCATTTGTATTTTATATTACCTGCTTCACAGCATAAAAAGTGCATTAAAACTAACAGGGACCCTTCACTCAATTCTGCTCTTTTCCATAATTTCAAAAACATTTCATTTGTTGAATTTCTAATGAATAGAGTAGCATGAACAATACTTTTGTCACTTAAATGACATGTACAGGAATATCTAATCACTTTTGAAAGAGATTGCAATAACTTTGTTGGTTTTTTATTTGTTACAATATCAAAAAAGAACACACCTTCATTTCATGGAATGGAAACAAAGAAATACCTAATCATGTCATAACTTACATGCATTAAACAAATTATTATTTAATACGAATGATAACTATGAAATTCAATTCATAAAGAAGATGGGTATATGTTTCGTACAAAATAGAAGTAATATAAACACCTCTAGTAATTGGTTCGATGACTTAGTCCTGAAGCATGCTTTTCAATTATCTTTTTTTTTTATTTTCGAACAATATACGCGGGGAAACTGAGCATGTTTTATAGAAAAACTTGGCAGATCCATTGATATTGAACATCTCAAGCAAACTAATGCATTACCTTATTATAAAACAAAACTGGAAACACTTACCAATCGAGTTATCCTTTGATGATTTTGAAATGATACTTCCAGATGACTCGAGAAAAACCACACATTAAACTAATAGATTATCTCAACGAAATCGTTTCACTTGCTCGAAAATAGCTGTGACTACTAATAATGTAATAATTCCTTCACTCTGTATCTAAAATCGCGCCATTTTGTATAGCCGAACCGAACACCGAAAACGAACTTTTTGATAAAATTTTCTGAACTTTCCTACGTATTTTACAGTACATCATTAATATACTTATTGGTGAAAATAGAAACGGACTTCCATAACACTTTTGACTAACACAGGCAACAACAAATTCATTCACATATGTATGACCTCTGTAGTAAAGAGAAAGCCAAGCCAATATCAAATAAAAGACTTTTTAGTGGAATAGGATATGTTGATTTTGCAACTCTCGCTCAAAGAGATACATAGTTTTTATTTTGATAATATTTAAGTGATTCTTGAAGAAATTGTTAACTTCATATAAAAGTCAATAGCTCCATAAAAATGCATCATAGAGCAAAATAATCTTATTTTGTTGGAACCATCCTGCTTGATGTTATTTCGTTCCGCTATTGTTTTAACATGCCGCCAACAGAAGTTTGATGCAACCGGAGTTTTTAGTACGTTTCTCAATTCATCAAATAATATTGTAAAGTTTACTATCCTTTCAACAACAGAAAGCTGTGGTCCAGAGCAAAGAGAATATACCTGTGGTCCAGAGAGTACAACACTGCAGTTACAAGTACGACACATGAAATTGCCTGCTTAGGATTGCTCTCCACGTGTTTGCAGGGCAATTGTGAGCAGGGCAGTTACAATATAGGTGCATTATAGTCTCTGGTTGTGAGCAGGTTACAAAATGTGGACTGCGGTGATAATTGACTAAAATGTGTGTGAATGTGAAGTGTATATTTTAGTTTGGAACTTTCTCTGCAACTATATCGTCGAAATCGAAATATTTTGTCGGTATTAGTCAAAATGGATCGCGTATCGCTATCCCAAAAGTACGGTATATTTAAACAAAATAAAACCAAGGAAAAGCGGAAATTGAAGAAAAACACAAGGTTAGCTAAAATTTCTAGTGTGTTCTTAATTGTTTAATATTTTTATAATGCTAAGTTTATCAATTTCCTTCTTACAGGTACTTCACTATGGATCTACCCTGTACTACTAGTGAAAATTCCCCTTCTAGTTGCTCAGAATTAGACCAAATTAGACCAAAGAAGAACCAGAACATGAAACAATTTTATGGAGACATGACAAGTAAATTACTGGCTATGGTTCCTCCACCAGCTTTACATACCACCTTTACGTACAGTAATGTGCCACCTTCAAACCAGTCTCTTGTCACTCAAAATGGTGAAAAAGAAATTTGTGATATGGAGTGTGAGTTGATGAATAGTGTATCCACAGAAATAAGTATAGAAGATAAGCATGTTGGTCCAAATGAAAAATCAAAAAAAACAAGCATTGTAAATTGTGTAAACATTTCTGATAATGGTATCAAGGGCAATTATTTAGATACAAACAAACAAAACTGTAAGAAGGATATTAGGAAGAATGGCAAGAAAAAAAAGGAGGGTGACAAAGGAAACCTAAGTGTAAATGTACTCATGAATAAAAATAAACAGGTTGCAAGTTATCCCTCAGAAATGAATGAGCAGCAAAACGCTGTAAAATCAAATGGGAAAAGATCTATAGTAAAAAATGCGGAACAAGACAGTGGACTTTTTGACCAGACTGTCTCTTCAAAAAACAGCCAAAGTTTTAAGGATATTGTACCTGAAATGAATCACCCACTAAAACAAAGTAAGAAACATAAAGCAAGAGAAAAAAGGAAGGAGATTGAGAATAAAGTTATCGCTACTTGTACTAAGGAACAGTTAGCCCAAGAAAAATGCAAGAAAGTGCCAACACTGTCTAAAAAAAAGCAAAAATCAAATGCACAAAATGCAGTTGTGGAAAGTATCAGTGAATTTATCTCAAAGCAAATAGGTACATCTCCGTTATTTGAAACTTCAAAGAAACAAAACAAGGAAGCAAGTAAAGTAAGGGAGTCGTGGGGTAATGAAAATGATTTTGACTATCATGAAAGGAGATCTGGGGGATGGAATGTTATAGATTCAGATCAACTTGTGGAGAATACCATTTCTTTGAAAAAGGTACAAAAATCGGCAAAGAGGAAAAGCAACTCAAAAATGTTAAACATGCGTGTTTATGATAAAGAAATCCAGAAACTTGATGTTAAAGTTCCAAATAAACCTCTCAAGAAAGCAAATAATTTTGTTAATCAGGAATTTTGTAATTCCCAACCAATACTTGTTGAAATGTGTGGAAATAACCAAGTCTCTTCTAATACGTTTCATGCTAAAGTATTTGATTTGAAAAGGAAAACTATCCAGTCACCATTTAATTTTAAGAGTGACTTGAAATGGAAGCCATGCAAAAATCTTTGTAGTACTGATAAATGGGAAGTTCAATATGGAAATACCATGGGGTTGTCAAACACTGAACAGCAGTTAACTACAGAACTGCAAGAGCCATTGTCAAATGTGGGAGACTCAGTGGCTGTAAGTATGGAAAAGGAATTAAAGACTGTTACAATAGAGAATTTTGTAAACAAACAATTTCAATCAGAATCTCCAAAAAATTCTACAAAGAATACAAAAGAAACTGTAGTTATGAGTGATTCCTCTGGACATTATCAATTATTTGATGTATCTGGAACTGAAGTTATTTTAGCTCTTCCTCCATCATCCTCTGTATTTTTCCAAGGTGTAGTGAAAGTGAAAGTTTTATTGGGTAATATTTCTGTTTTGGGTTTGGATATTAGTCATACTAATCCTCAAGAATACACTGTATATTCACCTTATGGTGTAAGCTTACTTGGTTTTCAGTCCTGTGTTAAAGTTGATACATTTTCATCAAGCGAAGAATACTGGGACTTGGTTCAAGAGAAGATTGGAAAAACAAATGTAATAATATTGGATAAAGTTGTAAAGAATATTTCTCCTTTTAGTTCTCTTTTATTACTTCAAAGTGTATCCGAGACACTCATCACATTTTTGCTGAAGTACTTCCCATCATTAAATTATTTTCCTTCTACACTATCAAGAAGTAGAGTTGGTGAAGACTCTTCAGGCATTTTGAGAGCACTGTTTGTGGATCCTCAATCTACAGAATACAAACTTTATAAACAATCATCTGCATGGGATTCAGTAACATCCCTTCTAAAGAAACAGAAACCAAGTAGGTTTAAATTTTACCAATTTCCCCTTGAGTGTTACAAAAATTTGTCAAAACTATTTTCAAATGCTTCTTTTGTAGGTGGCGTGAGAGTGTTGGCATTTGGAGGCAAGGGAGTAGGAAAATCAACTTTTCTTCGTTTTCTTGTCAATCAAACCTTACCTCAATTTAAAGAGGTACTGTATATTGATTTTGATATCGGTCAGTGTGAGTTCACTATACCAGGTTGTGTATCAGCAAGTGTTATAAAGAATCCTTTGTTGGGTCCCAATTTCACTCACTTGACTCAACCAGAAAGGTACATATTTAATCTCACATTTATTTTTAAACAGTTATATTTTTACTTCCTTATGTGTGTAATAAAAACAAAAAGAATTGATAAGCAGCAAGGACAAAATTGAATTAAGAGATATAAATTATTTATGAAATGTAGTAAATTGTATGCTTTTATTTCTAGGTTGATATATGTTGGTGAAATTAATGTTTCCGTTTGTGTTGATCGTTATTTACAAAGTGTACAATATATTCTTGATTGGTGTCGCAACCAACCACACCTTATAAAATTGCCATGGTTCATTAATACAATGGGATTTGTTCAAGGTAAGAAATAACGAAATAATTCATTAAACAATTGTTTTGTGTGTGTAAAAGAACTTTTGAAACTTTTTTTACTATTTCAAGGATTGGGAATAGAACTGGCTGTCACAATTATCAAAATGGTAAATCCAAGTGATGTCATTCAAATCCAGAGTTCAGTTCAGGACCGCAATTTTCCATTTTGTCTGAAATTTGAAGAAGTGCAAAACCATCTAACAAGTTTGCCTTCAATTGTTAGCGGCAATAACAGAAGCTTTACTTCATTTACTTTTCATATGTTACCATCTACAGCAGAAAGATCTGATAATCGGAAATCTCCATGGTTAGTTGACTGTTTGCTTTGTCTTAGACATTACTACACATTTCATTTACTATGTGAGGCAGTAAGTGTAACATGTACCCTTCCATATCTACAAATATTGTTTTCAGAATTATATTTTGATGTGCTGCTTTACTTTACAGGGGAGTGCAAGCAAATGTTGCACGAGAAACTGTGGTTATATCCTATTTTAGTCAAGTAGTTGCACCACCAGCTTTCTCTCTCCTTGAAGTTAAACCTCATGTGTAAGGAAAATATATTTGTTCACTTCCCGTATTTGATACTAGAGAAATGTAATTGTTTTTATTTCCTGATTTCATTTTTTCAGTTTATCTTTTTCACGTCTGAAGCTGTGCATTACCAATGAAAAAGTGAAAAATTCAGATTATCTCTCGGCTATGAATGCCAATTTAGTAGCTCTCTGCAAAGTTCCAGAAGGTAATAGTTTAATACCAAGCGATTCAGCATATCCAGAAATATTGGAAAAGGCACCCATTTGCCACTGTTTTGGATTCGGTAATTATTCTTTTCATTTTATTGTAAGTTTCTTGACCTTAATAAAAGACTGAATTTTTTATAACAATTTATTTCATATTGTATATTATTCTTTTTTTTATAGGTATTGTTCGTGGTGTGGATTTGGAGAAGAAAAAGATTTTTATTATCAGTCCTTTAGTAGATAAAAAGATGAAATTTGTTAATTGCTTAGTTCTTGGTTCTGTCCATTTGCCAGAGAGAATTTTTATATCCCAAGATGAAGCACGTGGAACAATACCTTATGTAGTTGAAGGCGCCCTACTCCCTCTGGCTAAAGGAGTTCGACCAGCGAAGTCGGTTATAAAATTAAAGAATTAATGTACCATCGTTTAATATACATTCCTGAAGATGTTTATTGCAATGTTTATGAATTTAATTCAAATAATAAATGTATACAGTGCAATTTGTTTCAAAGTTTTTGTACAAAATAATGAATGTGTGTAGTAAGACAAAATCTTAGTCAATAATCTGTAGTGACAAAGCCCACAGATGTTGCATTTGCTCAAATGGGTTCAATATTATTTCATGTAAAATCATTTATTCTAAATTGGTTTCAAAATGATGAATATTTACAAGTTTATTCAGTGAAAAAAAATAGTGATTCCTTTCTACACACATCTCTATAATTCCAAGAATGTGTTAGGATTTCATTTAATATATATTTTGAGTATCATTTTATGATAACTTCTCTTAAGTTCCAATACCTTAATTATTTTTTTTGCACAAAAATATAGCAAGACTAGAGGTGCAAAGTAATAAAAAAAATTAGCAAGTCAATGTTTATGCAAGATGACGATACTTAATTTTCAAGCCGAGTTACGATTAAGGCAGCTACTTTAGCTTGCCATACACAAAAGAATATCTGTTGAATCTTCGGAAAATAATCCATTTCCAAATTTCACACTCGTGTAATCACATTTCTAACAGACAAGGGAATGCCCTGTTGTGATTTTTCTTCCAGTGGAGGTTAAGGTCACATGTCTTCATACGCCACATTTTAGCTGAAATAATTATAGACATCATTGCCAACAATAGTATTCAATATAAGAGCAGCTTTCGATGGCTTAGCCATCATCATCATGCCATCATGATGATGGCTAAGCCATCGAAAGCTGCTCTTATATTGAATACTATTGTTGGCAATGACATCTATAATTATTTCATGAAAAATGCCAACGATAATGCACCACAACACCTATACACATTTTAGCTACGTAAACAAATGAAGTTACCCTTCGAAAATCTCTTAACTTCAGGGAGTTAGCTCACCTGTGTAACTAAACCATACTTATCATCCCTGAAAATCGTATGCATCATTAATTATATACTCTTGATGCACAAAGAGATATCAATTCAAGACCAAATATTTCTCATTTTTGTCGTTATTTATTCTTTGAATTTGGTCAAATGGGGTCTTCAATTTATTACATACTTTTACTGTAAACAATGTTTATCTTTCATTTTTAATAGATATAATTTCAGAACCCTGCCTATTCAACCTTCTGTTGAAATAGTAACAGGTAGAGAAAAGCTTGTTTAACCCTTAATAGGTACGGGGGGGGGGGTCCTTTCCCATCCATTGCACTGCACTGCTCAGGGCGTCAGGTGATGCGGGAACCCTATTAGCAAGCCTTCCGGAAGGTGTTGGCACAGGTGAGTGACCTTGACTTCCTGCCCTCTGTTTTCCAGCGAGAGAATGTGTTGCGAGTTGCATCCGACCCAACCGTACTGTTAATTCAGTGGACTTATACCAAACGCTCTTTTTCTCAATTTTAGTCCAAAATGGCTACAAATCAACTACTTTATAGAGCACAATAAATTCTAGAGGATTTTCTATCAGTCAGCGTGAGACAGTGAAGAGGGCGACTGACCATGAAGAAAACAGGATGGAACTGCCGATCAGTGACCTGCCTTCTTTCTTTCTACAAAATCTTTATTTTGTGATTAACGTAAAAACACTAGACCAAAATTTTATCTTTTTGTACTTTTGATTTTGAAGGTCACTAAGATCTATAATGGTGTTTTACATTTCATTTAAGAGTTTTGTCAATTTTTTCTAGTCTTTTTAGTCACTGTAAGTAAACAAATAACATTTCCTAATGTTTTCAATATTTTCTCAGAGATTTTTATTGGAGATATGTTTTTTGGAATATATTCAGAAATCATCATTGTGCAATAAAGGTGTTTTGTACATTTGTTTCTATTATAAAAAGCAAATAGGTTTTTTTTGAACCCATATGAGAAAATTTATCAGATTTTATTTCAAGTTTTTTTGTTTGTTTTCCCCTATGTTTATAAGTTGTTTTTATTTTTGTATGTAATCGAGTGCATACAATTTGCAATACAACTGGCACACATTGAGAAGCAACTATTCCATCTTCACCTTAATTTGTCATCTAAATTGCGGAAACCTACGACTTCAATATTTACTAGTCTTACAAGATTACTTCAAAAATTAAAATTCAAGAGTTCACAATATTCAGTTGAACTGACAAAACTGATGTTATTAAATGAGTAAGAAATTATTACAATTGAAAATATTTGTGTACATATTTAAACGAAAATCCTCATCAAAGTGAGGTCGGGTTGTATCCAACCTGACCGTACCTACTACTTCATCACAATCCACTGTACCAATTGAGGGTTAAATACTCAGAATGAAAATAACTTTGTAAAAATTTATTTGAATTCCTTTATTTAAAGGCAGTAAGATTACTATTAATAAAGAAATGACATTTGTAACTCAGTTTTATTTATGACAACGTACTATACATTTTAACTCTAAGCTTCAATTGATATATTGTCATTTTCTAGTACTATGGCAAAATGGATGATGGTCTTAAAATTAAATTTTACATAGCATAACAAGGTTGAACTAAACAAAGATCAGACACACGGATTACTTTTAAGGTTAGTCAAGTAAGAAGATAAAACAAATAGTTATATCTCAATGGTACCTCTCACTACTTGACTAAACTTAATGGCATTCCTCAAGTCTGACCTTCATTTTAATTCAATCCCATCATCCTATGCAAAATTTAACTTTAAGACCTTTGTTTATTTTGTCCTAGTACTTAGAAACAACAATATATTAAATTGTTGAAATGTATGCGATTAGTGCAAATATGTATAGAATGTTGTTGTAATAATACCGAGTTCTAAATGTCATTTCTTTATTTACAGTAACTGCTAACTGTCTATAAATATCGGGATCTAAAGAAACTTTTAAGAAAAGCTTGTTTGCAAGATGTCCTTGCTTCAAACCCAGGGCAAGCACATAATCTATGTGGAAAATTTTGCATTTTGGTTATTTATTGTAGTAAAAAATTCAAGTTCGTTTCAGCAACTCAATCTTTACATATTAACAACGCCATTCGCACTGAAAAAATACTAAAGCAAGTTTCGACTCGATACTTGTTTCATTGTGATTAATGTGGAAACATAAAATACTATTCATCTCAGTACCTCAATTTCTTGGCAAAGCTGAGTAAACGTTGGTCTTGCATGCATGTCAGCCTGCCAGCAAGGGCACATAAGTCTAGCATATACACTCTGTTCGCATGTAGGAGGGCAAGGTAAGCGAACTCCCCTCTCCAAAGCTACTAAAAGCTGAGATTGATCTTGCTCATCTGTATACTCTGGTAACTTTGGATCATCCCCAAATGAAAACATCTCATATAACGTCACGCCATATGACCAAACGTCAGAACAAGGAGAAAATTTTCCATCTCTTAAGCTCTCTGGGGCATACCTAAAGCAGAAAACCTGTGGTATTTAAACACATAATTAAAAAAGATCAAATATTATTAAAATTGAAAAACATGAATCATACCATTTAATTGGTAGCTCTCTATTGGTTTTTAGAATGTAATACCCATTGTTTCCCATCACTTGTGCTAATCCAAAATCAGAGATTTTTACATGGTTGTCACTGGCCACTAATATATTTCGAGCAGCCAAATCTCTGTGCACAATGTTTTTATGACCCAAGTACTCCATTCCCTGAAAATAGTTAAAACATTACTAAAAAAAGGTTTTGTAGTAAATATATGTAACAATGAATACAATCAGAATTTTGATTCTTGAGTGAATAACTAGAGCATATAAAACAAGATATGGTCCACTGATTTTATGGTCCTGGAATAACCAAAAGATATTTTTCAAGATTTTGATATGCAGATTAGAATCTAGACAATGACATCAGCAATCATAATAATGTCAAAATTAAAACATATTCAATTGTGTATGGACTTACTCTAGCAACATCTAAAGCAAATTTGAGAAGATGTGGATGTTCAAGAGTGTCACGATGAATCTTTAAATAACTTTGGAGAGAACCGTGCTGCACATACTCCATTACTAGACTCACTTCAGGTTCTTGGATCACGCCCTTGATTTCTACAATATTTGTGTGCTTTAAGGTCTGAAAGAAAGAAAAAAATTAAGTAAAAAAAAAAAAAATGAAAGTACAATGCTTTCAAATTATCAGTATTTAAAATATATAATTAGAAATCAGTATAAGCAGTGTAGTAGAGAAGTATAGTTTTTAAAAAAGAAGTATAGAAATCAGTGTAGAAGATAAAATATACAGTACAAAATCATTTCCTGAAAAACATAATTCCAAATTTTTTCATACATTACAATTCAAAAACATAATGGCAAATACTGAATTTAATTAAATGAATACATAAGTAATAATTTTTGAATGTTCTGCAAATAATTATTTTTAAATTACCTTCATTATAGATATTTCCCTCTCAAAATCTTGAAGTGTTGTGCCCAGAGCATTTGTTTTCAGTTTCTTGACAGCAACTAACTGTGGTTCAGATTCACTTCCTTGCTCCAATGTTCCTCGATAAACTTCTCCATAGAATCCCTACTTACACATATTTAGAAATAACTGTCAAATGAGAAATATACACCAACCAAAATATATTTTGAAATTTTTGTACCTGTCCAATGCGACCTTGTAAAACAACATTGCAATTCCCATCTAATTCAAAAATCCCTTGCATAGAGGTGATACTGTCCATGGGCTGAGGTTCTGGAGAAAATGGAAATGATGAAAGAAAAATACTGGTGAGGTCAGGAGACACTGCACTTGCTTCTGAAGTGGATCTCTAAAACATAGAAGAAAGCATTACCGTATCATTATCAAAAAATAAATTAAAATCTATTTAGCATAAATACTGCATGTTTACTTTATCCTCTTCAAGAAGCCATGGGTCTTCCAGACTGCTTGCAACACTAGTTGCACTACTTTCTTGTGCATCTTCTTCTACGTTCACAAGTAGAACATCCGACTTCGAATAATCAAGATATGTATCTTCTACACAACAAAATGGATTGCATTAAAACATTCAATAAGTATCAGGATATTTAACAATTGTCTTTAATTCATTTTTGCACTCGCCTGTGTTTTGTGAAAAGAGACTGGTGTTTGAATCAGATACATGGTTATCCTTAATATTTTTGAAATCTTTAGGAAACGCTGTTGCATAAGAATGTGTCCTCCGAGAATTAAAAACTGAAACAAAAAATATAATTTTATGTTAACACATTTTAACAGTAAAGCAGTATTTCTTTTACCTGCATATTTTTCTAACCTTGATATAATATTTGGTTGATGTCTCGCATTATGGCTTGAGGCTTCTTTCTTTGATGAGGATCCAGCTCCCAACATTCTTGCATTAATTTGTAAATATCATAAGGACATTTACGAGGCTGTGGAAGTTTCCTTCCTGACTGATAGAACTACATAGAAAATTATCAATTTTATTAATAATGCATGTCATTCCATTTTAAGTGGTTCAGAATTAAATAAATGGGACACCTATCTCAGAAAAAATGCATATTTGATCATATAAATTCACTTAAGATTGGTTGTTCAATTTTGTTTATTGTTGTTATAATGTATTGCACATGGTTAACAAATGGCAGACATTTTTGTTTTCACCCTCGCACAATTTTTTTGTGCTTGTAGACAAGGATTTTGTAAATTTCTCTGCATTGTGTTCTTGTAGCTTTCTAAACTAAAATGCTTTGGATTCAGTAAACTCTGACCTACAGATCAAAGATTACATACCTTCTATAAGTTAATACTAGCAATATGAAAATCAATCCAACACTAATGAACAAATTTAATTTTTGAAAAAAGAAATACAATTACAACTGTAATTTTTCTTGTGCTACATAACAATGTAGTTGTTTTATGTAAAATATCAGTAAGAATTAGCACACCACTTAAAAATCACACCAAAATTAGTAATTTTTGAATTTTTTCCAAATTTTCTACTGTAATCTTTTTGTTGGGGGACCAGATAACAAATATGACATTTACTCATGCAAAAGATTGTTATGATATCAAAAGAAGTAGTAGCTTCAAGTATAAATTTTAACTCAAAGTAGTTTTAAAACTTTGTAAATTGACATGAAAAGCTCTTCATTTCCACATTGAAGAGATTATTATCATCCTCCCCCATTCAGCCCTGAAGCCTTCAAAAGCCAAGTAGAGTTGCGGCCAGCAGCGATAAAATTTAGTATAAACAATAGTAAATTAAAATTATACATGGAAATTTTAATTATACACATTTATATAATTTTTAAGATTGTGCAAAAATGTACAACGGTGGTCACATGTACAAAATTAATGGTGGTAAGTTACTGAATATAAAGCAAAAATAGAAAAACTGAATTGCATATATGTTGTGCATTCGTCATTGACGTGATTTGTACATGTAAATGTTTTTATTTGGAGCAGTGAAAAGCAATTTTGTGATCTGTTTTGCAACACAAATGCCATCTTTCCCGTTTTTTGAGTAGGATCTAGCATAAGTGAATTGAAGTTTTGAATTTATTCATCGGATCTCTTGTTTTGAATAAGAGTTATCTGAAGTTGGTGCAGGCTTCTTCTACGTTCACTGAAAGCTTTACAACATTCCCTTAAGCTTTCTCTAGCGTTTTTTGTGCGTGCGCGCAGCGTGTGCGTGTGTGTATTTTTTTTGTCAATTACGATTTACCTTTCTGAACAAAACATGAATTGATTGAAGATATTTCTAGTTTGCTACATTAAACAACAATGGGCAACTACATTTATTTATTTTTTCAACTGCTAGGTCATTAGTGACTATTATTGCTTGTAACGGTATGGTAACTGTGTGGATGACACGTATGATGATGATGATGATGATGATGATACGGGGTGAAAGGACGAAACACAATACAACCATGCCCAAGGCGTGACTCGAACCCGCGATCCTCCGGGCCGAGATCGCTACGGCACTACTGCCTTAACTATCTCGGCCACCGGATCGGCAGAACAGACTGTCTGAAGCAAAATCTCTCACTTCAATTTTGTAGTTTTGAATATTTTTTTTTGCAATTTTCGAAAAAAAGGTGCAATACCTACAAATGAGACAAGCGCTATACTTCTTACCGCTCCTTAATACATATGTGGAGAAAAGTTTAAGAAAAAATTAAGAGTGGTTTTTATGATTTTTTGTACGTTTTAATCGCAAAATACGCAAAACTTTTCAAAAAATTGTACATGACCTTTTTAAGAGCTGTAACAGACTCGGCGGCAAAGATCTATATCTTTAATTTTCAAAAACAAGCAATACCCGAAAATATGAATAGCAACATATGTTTTATTGTCTCTTATTGCATAAGTGAAGAAAATTTAAAGAAAAAAATTGAAGCGGTTTTTTGAGAACAATTTTTGTAAATTTCAATCGCAACTACGCATAAACTACTTAAAAAAATTGTCACGATCTGTTTTGAAGATCTTATTTTGTACAACAGACTTTGAGAGGCACACACACACGCACGGCGCCCCCCAACCCACCCAC